TAGTGCATAAAAGGTGATTTCTTAGACGAAGTTTTGCGATAAGTGTGACTTTTCAAAAAAAAGCGATTGTTGTTTTGATCGTCATGTTACACCTGATCTTGCATCCTGATTGGCCCAATATCACAACTGTGGGGAGAAATTAGTAAATGCCAGACAAGGGCTAATAATTAATTTACGTGATTTCCAACTGTTATCGTTATTATCACAATCTATCGCAGAACAATTTCAAAAAGATTTTTTGATTATTTTTGTATTATGATATTCATTATGTTACCAAGATCAAAGCTTTTTCTTTACAATAGATATCAATTCCTATCAGCTGTTCCTCGAAATTTTAATAAAACATTTCTTCATACTTATCAAAAATCATCACCACCAACCAACCTTCCCGATTCCCATTTGTTCTATCCAGGCCGCACTTCAATACTCAGAATGGAAGAATTCTACCATTCAACACTTTCGACAGATTTAATGATACTAAGCTATAAAGACCCGGAGTCCGAACGGAAATTCATTGAAAAACGTCAAAAAGAACATTTACCAATCAAAAAATCGGTCTTAACAAGAGACACGAATCCTTTTGCGATTAATAGACCATCACCAAAATCAAGAGGAAATAAAAAACGTTTACCAGTGCCACCAAAACAATGTCATAAAACATTACCTAAACTATTAAAGATTGACGTACATTGTATGATTAAAGAGGCTATACATAGTAAACAGCATTTATTGAGTGGTATTATGGCGTTACAATGTATAACATCGGAACGACCAACAGTGGTTTATTCAAAGACGGGAGTCGCGCAATGGAAGTTGAGAAAAGGTAAAATTCAAAATGTTTCATACGGATAATTGCATATGCAATGCATATTTCTGATTATCTTTTCTTTAGATATGCCAATTGGATGCAAAGTATCAATATCAGGACCACCAATGTATACGTTCTTGGACAAATTGGTAGAAATAGTATTACCCAGAATGAAGGAATGGCACGGAATACCAATTACATCAGGAGATCAAAATGGAAATATAGCAATGGGATTCCCTGCTAGCGCTTTATCGTTGTTTCCTGATATTGAAGGAAATTATGATATGTTTCCTCTTATGACTGGGTTTGATGTTATTTTTAATACTACAGCTTATACAGATTATGAAGGAAGGATGTTGTTGAGTGGATTCCAAATTCCTTTTACTCCAAGGAAGAAGATGGGAAGGAAAGGAAGAATAAATAGGAACTGATCTAAGTGCGCGTGGAGTTTAATGATCATTAACAAATTTATTTTGTGATAAAAAAGTATACATTCTTTCCGGCAATAAATGTGACATGTTATGTCATATGAAATTTTCCGGGGACTGTTTTTACAAAAAATTTCCATTTATGACATTGTTATCGGGTTATTATGTAAATAAAAAGTTTAGAATCTGGCAAAGTTCTTATTTTATTGCGTATCTTTATACGTATTCGTTGAGGACAGGGCCAGTGATTTTCTGTGGTGACAAAATCAAAATTATGTGGTGACAAAATTTAAATTATGTGCCAAATTATGTGCGATTCTGCGGTATACTTGGCCAAATTGTGTGCGATTCTGTGGAGTGCTTACGAAATTATGTGCGATTCTGTGGTTAAGAGCTTTCTGGATTTTGTTTCGAAAAAGTTTTCATGACCTTGCTCGTAATTTGAGTTCATTCAAATTCTATGTTGGAAGATACCGGCTCTGTTTGACTTTATCTATCAACTTGCCAAAATTATGTGAAAATTCTTATAAAATTGTATAAAATTGGCATATTATGTGCTATTCTGCGGTGATAAACACCAAATTATGTGATATAGATGTATTTATGTGAATTCTGTGGTATTATGTGAAACACATAAAATCACTGGCCCTGGTTGAGGAGGCCACATTTTTACGAATTTGAATTTTGGCCAGAATTACAGAATTAAAAATTTTCGAAGATCATCATCCTATTGGATAATTTTTGTTGTTGTTACTGATATTTAAAATACACGAATTTTTTTAGCATGACTGAAGTTCTATTTAATTGGCTGCAGATATGCAGCTTGCAGATCCAAGTTATTAAATTATGATTGGTCGATTTAAAATTCTATAACAAAGATTTTAAGAAGAAAAAAAAAAAAATTTATCTTAAAGTTTGACGCGGTTAAATTTTCTATAGCTAAAGTTTTAGTAATTAGATTTAAAAAAAAAAAAAAATTTGACATAGCTGCCAAGACCAAGGTTTTATTACTGTGAAGTTTTTTTAACTTCGCCACCAAGACTTGCCCCCTAATTTGTTCAAGTTTTACAAGTTTTGCTGTAGTAAGGTTTCTTTATACCAAGTAGGCAACATTATATATATAATGTTGTCTACTTATATTAGGTTGTTACCTACTTATGACGAACAATTCACGCTTGCGTCGTCATTCGAGTGACGATTGGTTTATGAGTTCGTCATCACACTTGGGTACCCATGACTCACAAAAATGTGACAACAGATTTGTGTTTGTGTCGTCATTCGAGTGACAATTGGTTTACGAGTTCGTTGTCACACTTGGGTACCCATGACCCACAAAAATGTAACGACAGATTTGTGTTTGTATCGTCATCTTGCATGTGTCGTGATGACTTAAATGCGACACTGTAGTTAGTGTCTTTCTGTATTTTTTATTATAACCCAAATTTGATAACATTATTTATATACTGGTTTGGTAATCGTGGCTGATTTCTGCCATTAGACTACATGGGTAAAAAATATATCTGACGATGCATCCAGTCATATATTGTCATTTGTAGGCCCGATATGATGACTATGCCTGAACCTGGCACGTAGTGCCTTAGCTTTCTGGTTAATTTCTCAATTAGGGTCAGAGTTAAGGCACATAGTGCCAAAATAGTATTTGTGACCTTATATTAGCCTTGACATATTACTGAATCAGCTATCAATAAATGTTATCGAGTATGTTATATTAAAGTATACCGATTTTGATTGCCATAATTTTTGATACCAGAAATATGTCCTGAGAACATATATAATAAAAAAGTAGGTTAACTATATAGAAAGACAAGTATATATATATAATAAAAAAGTGGATTAACTATATAGAAAGGCAAGTATATAACTTCCATAATTATTATATAATATTACTGAAGTTATACACCCCGAAAACATATATTGAAACGTGGTATATAACTCCCATTTTTCTTATATAATATTACTAAACTTATATACCCCGAGTACATACTATCAACTGGGTATATAACTTATCCCTTAAGCTATAGAGTTCGTGTAACAATTTTAGCCTAAAAATAGCATAAATTCAGTTATGATTTACTTTTTTTAATTTTTAAAATAT